AATGTGTTCAACATAATGGTACTTCCTCCAGTTATTTAACAGTCAACAATGGTGTACCACAAGGCTCAGTCTTAGGACCCACCCTCTTTACAATCTACATACATAATGTAGGTAAAAACATCCCTAATGCATCCATACATTTCTATGCTGACGACACAGTTGTTTATCGTCAAGCTAAAACAGTTGCTAAGGCTTTCCAGCTTTTGAAATCTGCATTCAACATCATCCAGACTGATTTGTTTCGCCTCAAACTTGTCCTAAATGCCGACAAAACCAAAGGGATGCTTTTTTCAAATAGGAAGTTGGTCCCAGCAGTTCTTCCTCCGATTTTATCCTCAAATGGTGTCCCCATTGAGTTTGTTGATTCCTATAAATATTTGGGTATCTTGGTCGACTCACATCTCTCTCTTAAGCTCCATGTGGAAAACTTGATAAAGAAACTGAAAGTTAAACTGGGTTTCTTTTCAGAAACAGATCCTGTCTAACCCTGAATGCTAGAAAACACCTTGTAACTACGACTTTCCTTCCCTCAATTGATTATGGTGACATTATTTACATGAACGCTCCTACAAGAACCTTGCAGATGTTGGATGCTGTCTATCATGGTGCACTAAGATTCATAACTGGCTGTGATTATCGTACCCACCACTGCACTCTGTATTCACTGGTTAACTGGACATCATTAACTTCACGCAGACTCTCTCACTGGTATATTTTCATCTTTAAATCACTTCTTGGTCTGTTGCCTTCATACATCTCCTCCTACATGTCTCTGCGTGAGTGCAGCTACGGAGTGCGCTCTCAGGACATTATTACCTGCAGTGTTCCCTCAATGAGGACTGAACTAGGCAAAAGGGCCTTATCCTATTCCGCTCCTGTTTCCTGGAATATCTTACAAAAAGATTTGAAGCTCTCGACCTTGACCTCTCTAAATGTCTTTAAGAATCTGTTGGACACCTGGCAGGGTCCAATGCTGACATGTTCCTGTTTTTAGTTTTCTACATTTGTCTTGGAATCTAGCTGTTTTTTGTTTTGTTACCTTTTCCTTTTAACCATCCTATTTGTTAAAAAAAAAAAACAAAAAAAAAAACTGTAGTATGACTTTTTATAACTGTTTATTGTTGTTGCTGTTGTCCATTGTTGTCATCTTTCTTTGTTGAAATCAGGTCTCTCTTGTAAATGAGTCCTCGAGGCTCAATGGGATTTACCTGTATAAATAAAGGTTCCTTGATTGATTAAATCAAGGGCGTTAAAGGCATTAAATCAAGGGCGTTGAAGGAATTAAATCAATGGCGTTGAAGGCATTAAATCAAGGGCGTTGAAGGCATTAAATCAAGGGCGTTGAAGGCATTAAATCAAGGGCGTTG